GCACCGTCAAGCGCGCGCAACGTACCTGCGTGTGGTAGAAGCTTCCTATTAATTGTACAACTTTAGTTAGTATATGATGCAGCTTTAATACAACTTTAGTTAGTATATACTCCCTCGTTCCTAAATATTTGTCTTTCTAGATATTTCAACCAGTGACTACATACGGAGCAAAATGAGTGAATCTACACTTTAAAATATGTCTATATACATCCGTATGTGGTAGTCCATTTGAAATCTATAAAATGATAAATATTTAAGGGTGTGTCTAGGTCACATCTAGATGTGCTCTAGTTATTGCACATCTAAGTGAGTGAATCAAGCATAAAGAGAAAAAAAAGAAAAAGAAAATATTCAGACGAATCTCAATGTAAGATCAATGACATATGGCTTAGATGTGCAATACTTATGGCACATCTAGATGTGCTTTAGCAAAACTGAATATTTAATATGAATTAATATGAATTGAAAAGAGTAACGTATCATGCATAAATCGAGTGTGGCGCCAGGTGTCGAGTGAGCCAGGGGATGTTGATGCCCACACTTCACAGATGAAGAGACAAAAGGAGCCTCATGTCACACGCTCCACCACCCGCCCGCCTTCGTCACGCTGCCGCTATTTAACCATCGCTCGCCGGTCCCTCGGCCCCTCCAAGTCACCGCGCTCGTGCTCAACTATTTTTCATCTCCTTTCCTCCCTGGTCCACAGCAGTTTCCCCTGCTCCACTTCTCCTCCTCGTACTGTCGTACAGAGCGAGCAGAGCAGGCACCGGCGAGGGCGCATGGCCCGCCGCAAGTTCCGGCTGTCCGACATGATCCCCAACGCCTGGTTCTACAAGCTCCGCGACATGGGCGCCCACGGGCGCGGCGGCGTCGGGGTGCATCATCGGTCCTCCTCGGCCCGGTCCTACCAGCAGCCGCCGTCGGCTCGGGAGTCGTCGGCTCGGTGGAGCGTGGAGGCCGCGCGGCAGCCGCCGTCGTCCCGGTGGCACAGGGAGGTAAGCAACGACGTCCAGCAGCCGGAGGCCGACGTCGAGCCGCCGGCCACGCCGACCAAGGAGTCGCCCCGTGCCCCGCTCCCTCGCAGGGCGTCGTACTACTACTCCACCAGAGACAGGGAGGTCCCGGCGCCGCCGGTTCCGAAGCCGCCCAGGGCCAAGGAAGCGCAGTCGCCGACGAGGAGCGCCAGGAGGCGGCACAAGGTGGACCACGCGCCTGAAGAAAGAGGACCCGCCGGGGGGAAGGAGCCCGTGGTCGGCGCGCTAGGCAGCTCTGGTCGGCGTCGTGACACGTGCATCAAGAGTGACGGCGGGGAGCCCCGGAGGCCAACGGTGTCAGGCCCGGCGGACGACGGCCGCAACGTCAAGGTGATCGCGTCGCGGAACGAAATCATCATCGACCTCCTGGGCGAGGACACGCCCGGGAGAAGGCTCCGGCCAATCGTGACCAAGCCAGCGGCGAGGAGACAGCCTGGGCCGAACAAGCAGGATGTCACCCAAGCCGACCACGCCGACGCGACCGCGAGAGCGAGCTCTGCCTCCGACAAGAGCAGCGTCAGCAGGCCGAGGCGTTCCTCCGCATCATCGTCGGGCCGCCGCCGCCTCAAGACGCTTTCCAAGAGCCCGCGCCTGGCCGCCACCGCCAGGAAAGCGAACCCGCCGTCCCGGAAATGGGCGGCGCCACCGCCACCGCTGCCGGCGCCGGTGATCGTGAGCAGCTACCCGGTGGTGAAGATGTCGGAGGACCCACGGCAGGACTTCCGCGAGTCCATGGAGGAGATGATCAGCGCGAAGCGCATCCAGGACGCGGAGGACCTGGAGGACCTCCTGGCCTGCTACCTCTCCCTCAACGACGCGGCGCACCATGACCTCATAATCGACGTCTTCGAGCAGATTTGGGTGAGCCTCGCCGGCGCCAGGCCGTGAAAGAGAGCCGCCGGCCATGGCAGCTCCGCGGTGCATGCAGCAATGGTGGATCCCATCCTATCCTTACCATTGCTCCCGCATTAATCAACTAGATTAATTGGCTCTATATCCTGTTAATGATAGCAAATTAAAAAGAGATCTCCATATATAGAAGGAAATTCGCAACCCTCCTGCACTGATTTGCATGCGTTGGTGATCTCCATATAGAGTAGAGTGAATAAAATAAAAGAGAAACTTTTGTTCTTTCCGTGCTCGGCGTGGTTCTTCTTTGCTGGATGCTTGGTCGCGTGATGATGGTGTGATGCTGCTGCTCAATGTCTTGAGCGCCACACTTGTTGTGAACTGTATCCATGCCATGCCAGTAAGACGGTGACCGTCACTAGTGATCATGCCAGTAAGATAGTAACCGTCACTGGAAGCCAGTCACTGTTACTGGCATGAATGTCTGCAGCATGCATGCAGTGAACTAATTGAAGAGCTTGAGCCTCCATTTCTACTGTTGTACGCGACGGCGTACCCCATCCATACGGCGTCATGACATGAAGGCGGAGAGGCTGGGCGACGGCGGTCTCTTTATTGTGTTCCCCCCTGGTGTTGAATGCTCGGCACAGAGCAGGATCTCGTTGCTCCTTACCAACTGCTGCGAGCGCACGGCCGCTTGGTAGGCCGAGACGCAGGCGGCCATGGCGCGGAGGGGCACACGAGGAAAGCTTCTTGTTTTGCGCCGCGGGAAACATGGGATGATGCCCCAGGAATGGCATCGCCTTGTCGACACGCCGAGCCGGGCGCCGCGTGACCGATCCCAGGCCCGTTTTGGCAGCCCCGGCGGTTGCCCGTCCGCTGGCAAACGCTGCCGGCCGCGGAATAAGAACACAACACAACAGAACAGTAGGGACGCATGATTGCCCGCGGAGGCAGCACAGCAACCGCCCGTGTTTGGGTGGTAGTATCGCCTGAAGATAACGATGCTGTTTGCCGCTGTTGAAAGGAGCATGCGATTCATCAGAAAACCAACTGAATTTGGCCGTGATTTTATTCCTGCGAGGAAGAACACATTACCGAGAACGAAACACAGGCTTGACAAAGGTCGGTACAGCTTATCGCCGCACCGCACACTTTGCCCACGTTCACGTACGTCCTGCTCACGGATATTTGCCAAATCATCCCACATCATTCGACATGGCAGGGCAGGACCGCGCCGTATACGTGCAACTGCCCGCCCTAGCTTTGTCCCGGCCGAGGCCTTTGGCTGCGTGCGCTCCCAAATTAACACGCATGTACGCGCACACAGCGGTGACACTGTAGATCGTGTACCAACTTCGCCAGGGGAGTGGAAGTGGGCACAGCTGCTTTTGCCTCAAATTCAAAACAACTTTGATCTGAAAATATAGCAGAACGGACACGGACCTAAAATGGAGATGGGGTCGCGCGTGGCGATATGGGGTCTGCCTTGGAAATTGGCGCCGGCGGTGTCTAACAATCCACCGGCGTCTAAAAATCGGTCCAGTCGCGTCTTCAGAAGTCCAAATTTCGCCGGTTAGGACCGAAATTGACGACGACGGATTCAGGACGAACCCGACGCGCAGGGGGGCGCCGGGGGAAACATTTTTGATGCGTAAGTCCGGCGGGCCCGCCAAGTCAGGGACCAACCGCGTCTCGTCTTCCTCGGCGCCTCGTTTTCCGTGAAGAATCAATGCCAAGGCTGTTACCGGTCAGCCTTCCGCTGATTCTCCACAGGCGGCGCAGTGAAGGCCCTGCGACGCGCCATCCCCCTTCCGCCACGCGTACACACACGTCTACCGCCCCTCGGCGGCTATAAAAAGCCACCCTCTCCTCGCCGGTGGCCACACTCTCCTTCGCCTGGTGTCCCTCTCTCGTCGGCGCCGCCCCATCCCGTCTCTCTCTTCCCCGACACCAGCCACCGCGTCTACGTCCTCCGATGGGTGAGCATTTCCCGGGCGACGGTGCGGCGGCCAACGGCTTCGGCCGTCATACCCTGCATGAGTGGGAGGCGCACCTCCTCCACGAGGCAAACTACCCGCCGCCGCCTGACATGCATGCGCCGGGACGGTGAGGCTTCGTGCTGGAGGCGTCCCAGTCCCCTCGCAGTCCGTCATCGACCATCCTGCCCACTTCCACGACGAGATCGAGCGCCGAAGCGACGGTGGCATTTGGTTGCCGCAACACATGGCGGGCGGGTCCTCCTCCTCCTCCCACTCCCACTCGTCCGGATCGCCGGCGCTCGCCAGCG